TAATAGTAAATTTTTTTTTCCTCTTGTGTGTTGTTTTTTTTTTTTTTTTTTTTTGGTGTTTTGAGGCAGGGCTTCCATGTATTGCTTTGAAGGCTGTCCTGGAATTTGCTCTGTAGACCAAGCTGGCCTCGAGCTCACAGAGATCAGCCTCCCAAGTGCACCACCAATGCCCGGCCAAAAAGCAGTTTTTAAACTACAATCATAGCCTGGCGTGGTGGTGGAAGCCTGTATTTCCAGCTACTTAGCAGACTGGGGGAGCTTTGTAAATTCAATGAATCTGTGGGCAACAGAGTGAGTTTAAGTCCAACCTGGGCAATTTAGTGATGCCCCATCACAAAAAGAGCTGGGAATGTAGCTCAATGTTAGGATGCTTGCTTTGACTATGTGAGGCCCTAGGTTCAATCCCTACAAAGGAAGGAAGGATCTTTTTTTTTTTTTTTTTTTTTTTTTTTTTTTGCTCAGACAGGGTTTCTCTGTGGCTTTGGAGGCCGTCCTGGAACTAGCTCTTGTAGACCAGGTTGGTCTCAAACTCACAGAGATCTGCCTGCCTCTGCCTCCCGAGCGCTGGGATTAAAGGCGTGGGACACCACAGACCCGCTGCAAAACATCATTTTTTTTTATGTTTTTTTTTTTTTTTTTCTCAGACAGGGTTTCTCTGTGGCTTTGGAGGCCGTCCTGGAACTAGCTCTTGTAGACCAGGTTGGTCTCAAACTCACAGAGATCTGCCTGCCTCTGCCTCCCGAGTGCTGGGATTAAAGGCGTGCGCCACCAACGCCTGGCGAAAGGAATGATCTTAAAGAGAAAAGTAATCATGGTAATGAGAAGGGCTCTAAGAAATAGTTAAAGGAACAAACTTTTACTACAACCTATTCAATATAGGTGGCTATGGCTTAAAACTACAACAAACCATCCTCAGATATATTACTATTACCAATTTGCAGAAGTGATCATATATAATTAAAAGCTGCTTTACTATTTCTGCCAGTGAGATGCAAACAAGAACAACAAACAAACAAAAAAACAAAGAAAATAACAAAGGCATCAAACTCATTGCTTGGCTTACCATTCTTCTTTTATACTGTCAAGGTTATCTACTTCTTTCATTCTCTTTCTGCTACTGAAATAGTAAAGAGAAACAAAAGTTAAAGTTCTCAATGGTATCAAAAAATTTACTGTTATGTATTAACATTCTTTAACATGTAAGTTAGCATGTAACCAGTGTTAATATTCAGGCAACTGTACTGATCTGCCCTTGGGGTCCTGACAGGGTATGTCCTCAGGTGCAGCCACTAAGAGCACCTCCTGTGCACATTCACTACTTTCCCTTATAACAAGCGGGCCTTGCCCAACCACTTCCCATCTCTCTCCTCTTTCTCCCACTGCTCCTGGCCTCTATCCTGTTCCTAGAGGCCGGTCTCTCTTCTCCCCTCCCTTTTCCATTCCCTCCCCCCAATAAAAAAACTCTCCTCTCCACAAGAGCTCTATGGCATGATGGCATTTCTCCCCCCACCTTTTTTTTTTTTGTAGACCAGGCTGGCCTCAAACTCAGAGATCTGCCTGCCTCTGCTTCCTGAGTGCTGGTATTAAAGTCCTGTGTCACAACCTCCTGCCCTCTCCTGCCATTTTTTTTAAACAACCACCATAAAGGGTTTGAACAACTGACCAAATTCACCATAGTCATTTTCATCTAAAATAAAATAAAAGACACACAGCAGTGTGTGGTGGCACATGCCTGCAATCCCAGGACCTGGGAAGCACAGGCAGGATGAGTTCAAGGCCCTCTTCAGCTATGTCGGTATGAGTTTGGGCCTGAGAAAGATCCTGTTTAAAAAAAAAAAAAAAAGTCTTTAACCTTTCCACCGGGAAGACAGAGGCAGACCAATCTGTTCTTGGCCAGCTGGGGCCTCGTAGTGAGGCCAGTCTCAAAACAAAATAAAAAGATGAGGGGCTGGAGAGATGACTCAGTAGTTAAGAGATATTATTCTTGCAGAGAACCAAGGTTAGATTCCCAGCACCCACAGGGCAGCTCACAACCACTGGTAACTCCATTTGGATTTACACCTGTACTGGGTGGTTGTGTGTGTCAACTTGACACAAGCTATAGAGTCATTGAGGAAGGAGCTTCAGCTGAGGAAATGCCTCCTTGAGATCCAGCTGTAAGACATTTTCTCTTTTAGTGATCAGTGGGGGAAAAGCCCAGCCCATGATGGGTGGTGTCACCCCTGGGTTGCTGGTCCTGGGATCTACCAGGTAGACTGAGCAAGCTAGGGGAAGCAAGCCAGTATGCAGCACCCCTCCATGGCCTCTGCATCAGCTCCAGAAACCTGCCCCGTTTGAATTCCTGTCCCGACTTCCTTGAGTGATGAACAGCAATACTGAAGTGTAAGTCAAATAAATAAACCCTTTCCTCCCCAACTTGTTTGTCATCACAGCAATAGAAACCCTAAGACACCTCTGACTTATGAGGGCATGTGGCAAATACATGGTGTATAGACATTCTTGTGAATAAAACACTCTGTTCACACTAAGAAAAAAGAAAAAGATTCCACAAAGATACCAATAGTAATATTTTAAATGGTTTTTCTTTTGGCTTTGAGTCCCCACTGTGCTTTGCAGAGGGTCTTTTTCTGTGTCTCTTATGTGTTTCCTCATCCCCCAATAAACACCTTTCTTCAACTGCTAAAGTTAATAAAGTTGTTTTTTCTTTTAGGTGAGTGTACGCGTGCAAGTGTTCATGTAGTATACACTCATGAGGGTGGTAGTATACACTCATGAGGGTGGCATGTAAGGTGTCTTCCTGGATGCTTTCCCACCATGTTTGTGTATATGTGCAGGTATGTGTGGGAGCATGTGGAAGTCAGAGGGCAATTTCAGGTGTTTCCTCCCCAGATACTACCCCCTTATTTCTTCAGGGGAGTGCCTCCCTGGAACCTGGGGCTCACTGATTCACCTACTCTGACAAGCCAGTAAACTCCAGAGATCCACCCATCTTTGCATCTGCATTGTTGAGATTATAGGCACCCACCATAACTTTTATGTGGAAGTTGGTGATCCAAATTCAGATCCTCAGCTCCCTCAAGGAATGTACTTTATTGACTACAGTTTCTAAAGGTTTTTCTTTGGTTTGTTTTTCTGAGACAAGGTCTCAGTATGTAGCCCTGGATAACCTAGAATGTTCCAAAGATGCTCATCCCCATGCAGCTCCTCATTCAAACCAGCTTCTACACCGCTATCAGAAGGGCGGAGTCAGAGAAGTCTACAGACAGTGGCAGAGGAATCAGGACTCGTACAAAAATGAGGTAATAAGCAATGAGCCATGTGATAGAACTTAGGTAAAAAATATGGGTTCATTTATGTTGTAAAAGGTAGTTAGTAACAAGCATAAGCTATTGGCCGAGCATTTATAATTAATAAAAGTCTCAGTATAAGTTCTGTCAGGACAGAAACTTCTGTCTACATCTGATTTTTGGACTTCCCTGTAAAAACAAACCCTCAACAATCCCAACTGCTATTAGAATAAGTTCCAAATCCTTTGGGCAATATTATGGAGAACTAATACTAGATATTTGATGAAATAATTATACATAATTAAAAATTACTTTATTGGGTCAGGCATTGATGATTCACACCTTTAATCCCAGCACTTGGGAGGCGGAAGCAGGCAGATTTCTGTGAGTTCGAGACCAGCTTGGTCTACAAGAGCTAGTTCCTGGACAGTCTCCAAAGGCACCAAGAAACAACCCTGTCCTAAAAAACCAGAAAAAAAAAAAAAAACCTATAATTATTGTCCTCATCTCCTTAGTACTTAGTCCTTTTGTTTCTTTATGAGACAGGGTCTTACTATATAGATTGAGCTGACCTCTGTTGTGCCTTCTATGTGTTGGGTTAAAGGTGTTCACCACAAAGCCCAGTTGTACATAATTTTTAAAAAGTGGGCTGGGTGATGGTGGCCCATGCCTTTAATCCCAATGCAGGATTAAAGGCAGAGGCAGCCCTGGTCTACAGATTTAGTTCTAGGACAGCCAAAGCCACACAAAGAAACCCTGTTTTGAAAAAATAAAAAACAAGAATCTGAATAAAATTTTGAATCTGAATAAAATATTAACTAAGGCATTAACAAATTCTCCCAAACATTGTAGAATGCTGTACTCTAATCATAACAGCCATTACAATTTATTTTTTATTTCTTTTTGGTTTTTCGAGACAGGGTTTCTCTGTGACTTTGGAGGCTGTCCTGGAACTACCTCTTGTAGACCAGGCTGGTCTTGAACTCACAGAGATCCGCCTGCCTCTGCCTCCCGAGTGCTGGGATTAAAGGCGTGCGCCACCACCTCCTGGTGCAAAAAAAACCCGGCGCCATTACCATTTTTATCAGAGAGCTGTGACTACTTGCAAGAGGCCTTCAAGATCAGGACTGTTGGCATTCCATCATAGAACAAGAGGGTGGGAAATGTTCCCCCTCCTCCATTTCCTAGCCAGTTAAATATAATGCTGCTCAAGCTATACTTGGTGGGCTTCTGAGGTACTAGAATATATGGAGTGTGGAACATTAGATGAAGAGAGAGGTAATGGGGGTGTTTGGTTGGTATTTCTTGCTTGCCTTTGCATGATCCAGAAAATTCTGTCTCTCCATACCCCGCTGGTTCAGAGAGTCTCCAAACAAAGAAAAGGCAGCAAAATCCCAGTCCATATTCTTGGTGGAACCGCAGCTTCCTCTACCTGAAGTTGCTAGCCGCCCATGTTCCTGTCTAAAGGGCTCAACTTTTGACCATTCTTGGGCACAAACCCAGCTAATAGCAGACATGTCATTACCCCTTGCCCACAATTTATAAGTCTCCTTGCTTTTGTGGGGGTGGCTTCTCAGCCCTCGGATCTCTGGGACTGGAGAACCTGCCTGGGAGTTGCTTTGCTCAAATAAACCTGTTGTTATACTTTTTCAATTCTTCTTGATCTGGTTTACTTCATAGGTGGAGAGTACTATTTTGGGTGCAAAAACTTAATCGGGGAACTCCATCTAGGCAGCTCTGAGGAGGTCATCATCTATGTTAGGGTAAGACTTCAGTGATTAAGCTGCTTTGGCGTCACCCATACTCCTATAAGTCAGTCCAATGAATTCACTAGTGTGCCACGTGAAGCTGAACTTGAGTGGAATCCAACTCTGGTCTGTCAATGGTGCCCTACCTGGGGTGAGTGGACACTTGTGTATTCCTCCCCAGCAAAGGTCATTTAACTTAAGTATGCAAGCAGGAAACTTACTCAAGCTTATGAAAAAACTTGGCTTGCCAGAGTGGTGGTGGTGCACACACACCCTTAATCCCAGCAGAGGCAGGTGGATCTCTGAGTTTGAGGGCAGCCGGGACTAGAGTTCCAGGAGACAGCCAGGGTTACACAGAGAAACCCTGTCTTGAAAAAAACCAAAAAACCCATCTGGGTTTGATCTCCAAACAGTGGGTAATAAAGGTAATGCTCAAAGAGTCTGGAGAGATAGCTCACTGAGAACAATGGCTGCTCTTCCAGAGTACCTGGGTTCAATCCCTAGTACCCACATGGTGGCTCACAACCATCTGTATCTCTAGCTCTACAAGGATCTTACACTCACTTCTGGTTTCCACAGGCACCAGGCACAAAAATGGTGCACGGATATGCATTTAGACAAAACACTTGTGCACATGAAGCAAATACCATTTTTTCTTAAGAGTAAATGCTCAAGTAGTAACAGCCATCTACAATATTCTTCCACTTAGTACTATGTAATCAACCTCTCCAGTCTACCTGAACTCAATTCTGACTTTCACATTTCACAATTACCTACCACTAACATCAGTGTTACCACACCAGTATTCCCTGCATTAACATCAACACAACTCAGATGACTCACACCTGTAATACCAGCACTTAGGAGGCTTGAGCAGGAAAAATGCCTGCGTTTTAGGCCACAATGGAATACTTAGAAAGCTCGAGGCCAGCCATGGCTACATATATCCTGTCCCTAGGGGGGAAAGGTGGCTATAGTGATGCCAACACTTGCAAGACAGAAGCTGACAGATATCCGAGTTCCCGGCCAGCCAAGACTCACTAGTGAGATTTTGAACTCGAAATCCACATGCCTCTTGCCTCCCCTGTGCTGGGATAAAGGGCATGTACCACCACTGCAGGCAGGGGTAAGAAAACTGTTTTAACAACAACAATACAGATCATCAGTCCCCCTTTTTTCATTTCAAATTACATACAAAAGAACCAACACTGGAGGCCACTCTAACGATCATCTTTGCAGACAAGTAATAAACTTGTGTTACTACGAGTAAAAAAGGAGTGTGTGTGGTGTGTATGGGGGGGGGCGGGGGACGACGCAAGAGAACTAAAAAATAAAAATCAATTAGGAAAACAGAGAACATCAGATTTCCAGAATATCAAAGTGAGCTAGGCAAGGCGGTTGAAGTCAATTACGAAATGTCCAGCGAACAAGTCCTGTATTTCTGGAGTGCGCTCTGGGCAGCGTTAGTTCGCCTTTGGAAATGGGAACGTCTCGACAATATCTAACTCCAAGTTTCTGTTCGCCTTCAGAGAGAGAGAGAGAGAGAGAAGCACAAAGTGCTTCCATCGGGTTGGCGAGACTCTCAGAGCGGGGGAGCCGCAGGTCCGCACTCACCTGGGCCGGGGTGGGGCCGGGGTGGAGACCTCTGGCCGCCAGCGTCCTTCCCCGGCCGCAGTCGTGAGGTCCGGAAGCCCCGGGTGCCGACTCACTGCGGCAGGCGACGAGCCCGGAACGCCTACGGGGAAACGCCTGCCCGACCGGCTCAGCCGGCTGAACGCGGCGCGGAGCCCGGAGACTCACCTAGGGCGCGGGCCCGCGGCTCAGTCCTCGGTCCAAGAGAGTCTGCAAGCG